AGAGACTATGTAAAGGTGCAAATTTCCAATGATGAATGTCATTATATTGTATACCTAAAATGTACCAATAAAATTAATTTAAAACATAGATTATAGAAATATAGCAAAATGTCATTCAATCTAGTTCATGCACATCAGTATTCATGATACTACTTTGTCTTTTTATTTGCTTGGAAATTGTTCACAGTAAACAAAAAATAGTGAATGAAGAGAAAGAGAGAATATGAAGGAGAGCAGATGGTGGAGAAAGGACAGCAGTGAGAATGAACTCCTTCAGTCTGATGTGGGTTCTGATCGCTGAACCCTCTGGGCTTCATTTGCCTCTAATGCCAAGGCAGAGCTCATACCAATCATTGCTTCTTCTTGTTCTCATCACAATTTTATTAAAATCTAGTGGCGTCACTAGCAATTCTAAGAACAAAATGTTGTGACAAAGGAAGATTTAGGTCACCTTTAAGGTGTAGTAATTGTGCATGGAAAGTATTTTTTGTAATATTTGCTTTTTAACTTGCATTTTTGTTAGTACTTGTTTGGAGTCCATAGTGATTGCATTCCTCATGGAAAACTGGCCCATGTACATAGCACCCCTCAGTTCTGTTTTTCATCACCTTCTCTACACTTTCCTCACCCCTCCCTCCATGTCTTGGTCCATTTCCCTTTTGCAAGAGATCTATCTTCCAGCTTCCTATTACCTCTCTGTAATTCTGTTATCTATATTTTGGGTTTCTCATATGGGAGAAATCACACATTTAAGTGTGCATGGTGTCTGGTTTATTTCACCTAACATATATGTACTATTGCTGATAACTCCATAATGACTATTTTACCTTTTCTCTTTGAAGTTCGCAGAAGATTGTGGTCCTAAAACCAAAAGAAGAAATACTGTAGCTAAGAAGAAGACCTGGGCATGTAATTCTTCAGAGCAGAAAATACTTAGAGAATAATCATGTCTAAAGTGTTAAAAAAAAATCTTGTAACTGTTTTATTCTGAACTAGACTGTATAAAGAAGGATAAAATTATTTGGAACCATTGTGCTGTCTCCGGAGATCAAGTACAGGCTGTTCTAAAGTTCTCAAGGCATAAGCTTCTTCTGCAGGTTGGTAAGCCAGCTATAAAATATGTTAATGCCATTCACTGGAGCAAAATCTCACTAAGCACCTCATTCGTGTCAGCCGTGTTGGGTGTCACGTAAACCCAGTATTTATTGGGCTTGGGCCATGAGTCAGGGATTCTTGTCCACATGGGGCATTTCATATTCAGCATTACGGTGGTGATCAGTAGAATTTCTGTTCTCTCGGAGGGAGCTCTCAGTCTAAGGAGAGATGGTCTATAAAGGGAAAAGAAGCAGGTCAGCCCGCCACTGAAAATGCATTTGCAAAAAAACAAAAACAAAAACAAAAAACCTGGGGAATGTGAAAGAGACTCCAGGAGGTTATTTTAGGGTGGGATGGCCTCTTTTAGAAGTTGATGGGTTTGATGAGATCAAACACGAGGAAGTCTGTTATTGATATGGTGATAATATCATAATATCTGAGTACACAGACCACTTACTGTGCACCAGGCCCGTGACCTTTCTACTGTGCATGTGTGTGTGTGTGTGTGCGCGTGCGTGTGTGTATGTCACTGTGGGTTGAACCCAGGACTTTGGGCTTACATGGAAAGAGCTCTACCACAGTTATCCCTTCAGCCTAATTTCTACTTTAATTCAAGAACTTCAGCTTTACTACAATCTTTTTTTTTTTTTTTTTGGACAGGGGATCAAACTCAGGACCTTGTGCTTGCGAGGCAGGCAGCGGGACCACTGAGCTAATCCCTGGCCCAACTTCCCTACAATCTTGTGAAGATTATTTTCACATGACAGATAGACAGAAGACAACTGTACAGGAGATGGATTGTAAGGGAGCCAAGGTGAAGCCCTGAAAGTAGTCAAGATGTTACAATGACTGAGCAGGCAGGACCCATCACCATGAATTAAGCTTGTCCAGTTACAGTGGACCATAGATGGGTTTGGGTTAGAAGGGGACACAATTGGAACTTTTGATGTGAGAGTTGGACTTGGGATGAGGGAGTAGGGTAGGAAAGAAGTTAACTCGCATGATCTTGTCTCAGCAACAGGGTGGAGGGCGGTGTCCTGTACTGAAATGAAGGAAGAGGCAGCCATGGAGCATGGGGCAGGGAGTTGTTAGTTCTCTTTCAGCTCCACTGTTTGAGTTAATTGTTGGACATCAGAGTCTGGGTTTTGAGTTTAGAAAAAGTTCACTGGGTTTACTTTACATAAAGAGAAAACAACATTTAAAAAATTTTAACTGATAAATAAAATGTACATAAATCAGGATAAAACAATCTTCTCAGATGTTATCATTTCTTCATGATGAAAGTTTCCAAATCTCTGATTGGAATCACCCTACTGTGCATTAGCACACCAGAACTTCTTTCTCTTTCCTATAACTTGGAATTCATGAATAAACTTTTTTCCCATTCTTTTCTCCTCTCGGTCTCCCCAGCCTCTGCTAACTACCGTTCTACTCTTAACTTCTATGAGATCAACTTTGAAAATATAATTTCTGCAGAAATAATTTTAGTCTGGGCAGTAAAAAAAAAAGAAAGAAAACATGCGTGTAAGAATGCATTAGTCTAAATCAAAAGTTGCAAAGAGGTAGTCTCAGAGTATGTTTTGCTTGGATTTCAAAATTTCACATAGAAATATTTCTGGCTTCTCTAAAAACAATAGGAAATGTAAATACTTTTGGCTCAACTTCTCCCCTTTAAGAACTCACTGCTGTTCTAGAGCCCTCACTATTTGCTGTCATGTTGTTTCTGTCTGGCCTTCACAGGCTTTGGGTTTCGCCTCACTTGAACTATACTCTGGGCCCGGGGATTTAGCTCAGTGGTGCCGCCACCTGCCTTGAAAAGCACAAGGTCCTGACTTTGATCCCCGGTACAAAAAAAAAAAAAAAAAAAAGAAGTCACTTGAACTACATTCTGGTCTTCATTCTTCCACTTATGACTGCTGGATAGTTTTTCCATCATTTAGCTTTTCTGAGCCCAAAGTCCTCAATCATAAAATGAAGGCTGTCAGGAGTTCACAAGGTTCTTTTGAGAACCATGTTAAATGATGACTGTGAGTGCATTTCGTCAGTAATGTGTTCTAAAAGTAAAAAAATATTTCCTCTGAAAATCAAAAGCTGAGACTGTCAATGTATCACTGCAGAATAAAGGATGGAGATACCTAAATTTAAATTAGATATTTGGACAAGTGTCAGATTACTTTAAAAATATAGCCTATATTAAAATATAATGGAAAGCAATCAGTGCCCCCAAATTGAGTAGGAACTTTTTGAAAGAAAATATAAAACATTGAAAATAAAAAAAACATTTAGTGGGAAGAAGATTAATGGGAAGAATAAATAGAAGAAAAAAAGAGAGGCAGAAATTACAGATTCTTGTCACTCCTTTTCAAATTATCTATGAATTTATAATAATGATGATAATAGGAGCATTTAAGTGGTTTGACGATATTAATCACTTAGCACAATAATCCTAGGAGGTAGGTAGTATCACTATCCCCATTTTATAGGCAAGGAAATTGAGACACAGATTGGTTAAGTAATCTACCCACAGATGTGCAGTTAGGATGAGTCATTTCACTTCTTAGTCTTTTTGGAATGAACTGAAACTTTATAAAGATTTTTCTAAAGTGTTATCATCATGGAGGGAACTTAATTTTGACTCTTGTAGACAGAATGCCTGTACCAACCTAGAGACTGTGCCAATGTGATTTTTTAGGTTTTGAAAATTACAAACTAAGTCATCAAGTTTCGAAACCTATGAAAATATATGTCCAGACTCAAGTAACTTACAGTTTATTTCAGCTCTATTAGCATTGCATCTATCTGACACATACATGCCAATATTATTTCTTAGGAACCCTCAATAATCCCCATGTCCACCACAGAGCCATAAAATTTGGTACTTTGTGTCCTTGTCATTGTTCCAGCACAAAATATGTTAGTAAAACTTAGATGCCAACTCTTTAACCTCCCCAACATCCCTTTGATGCTAATATGTCCATTCTCTCATTATTCAATTAAACAGAACCCAGAGTTGGAAGGTAATTTGTCAGAGTTCTAATGCTTGCTCTTCTAGTAACATTAATGAGTGGACTTTGAAAAATCAATATCCCTCTCCACTCTGAAGTCCTCTGTCTATAAAATGAGAGAGTTGGGCCAGATGACCTCTGTCTCCTCCTGCTTTGACATTCTGGAATTTTTTGAAAGCTTCATACCAAGTGAAATAGTGCCCTTTCGTTGTTATTAAGAGATTATTAGTTTAACTCTCCATATTAAAAATAAATGCGCCTCCAGGAGTTTTCTAACAATGGCAGGACAACAATAAAGCATAGGTTATGCATTCTTATTCTGGAAGGTGGCATGGTTTATGCCTGGATGCTGGCCTTATACACTCTGTCGGCTCTCCTGAGCTCCACTCCAGTTGCTGAACTGAATGCTAATCAGCCTCTCTGGCTGTGCAGGGTGAGCTTTGTCTGATTACATCAGCAGGGTGGGCTGGGATGCCTGATTCAGTTCAGAGTAGTCATTCAGCAGTTCAGTGACACAGAGAAGGTCAGGGATTTCAAAGAATGCTGAAAACAGAGATGAAGGTCGGTGCAGAATTGCCCAGTTAATGATCACACTTCATGATTTCATAGCGTGTTGATTCCTCCAGAGATGCTATTCAGCCTGACTCTTACTGGACTGCCTAAGGAATTGGGGGCCTTTGCTGAGTCATCAGCCTGTTTCAGTATCTCTCCTTGTATATATTTTAATGCCACAAAACTTAATAGAATGATTAGCACCATGTTGCAGCATTTTGGTCCATGACTTTCAAAGCACTCTCCATACCCGTTATTCCATTTGTCATCTCCTTGAGCATGTGAGATGTACAGTGCGTACATGGTGACTGAGGCATTAGAGAGGAGGAAATTGTCAGGAACTTAAATCACGTGACCAGTTAGTGCCACATTTACTCCCGACCCGTGTTCTTTTTTCCCTGCCATTATCTAGCAACCAGACAGCCCAGAAGACATTTTTAAGCTTTTGTATTTTTCAAATACTCTGGAGGAAAAGGTGCCAGTTCCACTTGCATTCCTTGGATTTAATAATATTTACTAATGACCATTTGCTACTCCCTGTGCTATGGCATGTAGAGCTCCTCTAGTTCCCCTGTGTGCAGTGTTTCTGGCATTCTGTAGGAGAGTGGACATTTCTCAGAGGCTCTGGAGAGCCCTCAAGTTGATAAGGGTGAGGGGTGTGAATAGGTAATACTATAGTTTCCATCCCTGCTCCAGGAGAATATTTCTGTCTCCACTAGTCTGACAAATTGAGAACTGCAAATTTTTCATATTCTCTTCAAAGCAGGGCATAGTGTCTTCCAGCAAAAGCCTCCAGTGGGACAGCAGGAAAGGGTACAAGACTCTGACATCAGGCAGATCTACGTTAAAGCCCCACATCGTTGGCAATAAACACACAGAGTAACCTCTCTGAGCACAGAGAACCACAATCTGAACACTGGACAACAGAACTTTACTGTATCAGAAGTCCCAAATCAAGGTGTCCACAGAATTAGTTTCTTTGAGGGCTATGAGGGAAAAATCTGCTCCAAGCATCTTTCCTTGGCCTGTCGTTGGGCATCTTCTCCCTGAATCATATTACATCACTTTCTTTTTATGTGTTCATTTCTCATAAACCAAATTTCTCCTTTTTATAAGAACACCATATTGATTGAATCTAGCCCAGTCCTGTCTAAGATCATCTTCACTAATTACCTTTGGGACAACACTACCTCCAGATAAGGTCACTAAGGATTAGGACTTCCACGAGTGAAGTTTAAAGGAACACAATTCTACGCACCAACACCTTCTTTGTAGAATGAGGATTAGATAAGATTATATATTTAAAGTGTTTGGCAGAGGTCCTAAGACATAGTAGCATGGTTCCACAGGCATGAGCACCCTTTCTATGCAATGCAGTTCCTACTGTTTTTTTTTTTTTCCCAAACATCCCCTTCCGTTCCTCTTGCTATGGTCATTTCAAGCTTAATCTTTCTCCTATGATGATGACTTTTTGGAACAACTCATCCAATTTTACTATTCCAAGGGCAATTTCTGAAACCTGGGCTGAGATTTGGTAGGCCCCAACCCTCAATTTTCATGAGGGATTATCCTAGGAATGAGTAGTAATTTTTGAGATCATTTTTAGTCTCTCCACCTCTTTTTTTTAGAAGAAGAACTAGGCTATGTTGCCCCCAAATACTGTCGTGTCAGAAGGG